TTTTACAGCTCTTGTCCAAGTGCCAGCAGCTCACATTCCTCCAACAGCAGGAACCTGAAGTGCGGCTTATTTCCCCTCCATCCTCATCCCTGCACACTCCCCTGCAGACTCTGTATTCCTCCCAAGTGGCCTGTCCCCTTTTCCACATTCTGTGTACTTCCTTCTTCTGCTGGAGTTTTGCCAGGAGTTCCTTGCTCATCCATGCAGGTCTCCTGCCCACTTTGCTGGACTTCTTACTCACAGGGATGCACCAATCCTGAGCTGGAAGAAGTGAAACTTGAATACTAACCAGCTCTCCTGGACCCCCCCTTCCTTCTAGGGCCCTACCCCATGAGATTCCTCCACGTAGATTCCTGAAGAGGCCAAAGTTAGCTCTCCTGAAGTCCAGGATTGGAATCTTACTTACAGCCCTCCTTCCTACTTGCAGGATCCTGAACTCCACCATCTCATGGTCACTGCAGCCAAGGCTGCCCCCAACCTTCAAGTCTCCAACCAGACCTTCTTTGTTTGTAGTACAAGGACTAGCAGCACATCTCTCCTCATTGGCTGGCACATAATGACTGGCACGTAAATCACCACAGTTATTTGCCTGCTCTAAGGGTAGATGAGACAGAGATATTAAAACCATGAGCAGCATGGAAAACGTGAATCAATCATAGTGGCACACTGGTCACTCTTACAACACAGCACTTGTATCAGAAATTAAGCCAGTAGGAGGAAGGTTCAAAACAACAACAACAGTAACAAAGAGAAAAAGCTCTAAAGGAAATATGCAGATAAAACTGTGAAACTCTTATGGAGCATACACAAACCACGTTTGGCTGAGCTAACGCAAGGCGCAAATAGCTGGAGGACGGAAAGTACTTGCATGAAGCATTATACATACTTGTCCTTCTTGCACCTTTCCTTAGGTATCCAATTTTGGTCAGTGTCAGAGAGAGGGCATTTGTCTGACTTCTTACTGTACTTCGGTCTTATTACAGTCTGGTCAAATATTTTTATCTGGCTAATTTTCTCTTAGTTATTCACAAATTAATAGTGGAATAAAGTGACCTCATTTTCTAGGGTAAGGATATGTTACACATTTTCAAAAATGGGGTCACACCACTGAGGAAAAAGTCTATTAGTACTTATTTAATGCTACTGTATGTCTAACAGAAAAACTCAGCAGTAGAATAACCATAAGCTTCTTTTGAGGTGAAAAATATTTTTAAACTTCAAGATGATGTTTATTTAGCTTAAGTATTCTAAACACATCCATTGAAAACTGATTTTCATGTAATAACCCACACTAAAACCTATGCTGGAAAGAATATTCACAGTAATAGGCCAAAGCACTAAACTGCTAAACATACTGGAATGAGTTTAAGTATTGAATTAGTTTCTCCATTTTGTTTGTATGGCTAGTTCATTCTAAGCTAAGTAACCAAATCTGGGAGCTGAATCATCCTGTTTATGGTTTTCTAATCTGCAAAAAATGGTGTAAAAAATAGTTTCAAGCTAACTGTAAATCTCAGATATGCAGCACACTCAACAATATCTGCATTCTGAATCAACCTTCTTTCCTCTTCAGTTACAAAAACGTTAAGTAGCAGTCTAACTTCCACCAAATCCAGGTTGTTACATCTAAAACTAGCATATTAGAAATGTATTATTTGCTGTTTTCTAACAGGCAAATTTTACAAATTATGGGTCTTAAAGATGTACATTAAACATGACAATTGCTTAAATTATCATCTATAGAAGTAGTATATATACTAGTGTAGGTAGAGAACAGGTAAGACAGCTTGTGCGCAACAGGAAGGACCTTTCATTAGACTGAATGGTATAGTTTGAAACAAAAGGCAGCATGTCAGGAACAGAGCCCTTCCTTGGACCTGAAATAGAAACAGCAGCTTTCAAAGGTAAACAAAATGGTCTGCATTTAGTAACACATTGAAAGTAATGAAGCATGCAGTACCACGATATGCTTTTCCATAAAACCAGTTGCTTTCTCATTCCCCAGGAACCTGTACTTAACTGAAGAACTTGAGCACACAATATCTTGTCTAATTTTTTTGACCATATTTTTTTCCTCTTATAAAAGATATTACCTCTACCTACTATCTCTTTTCTTAACAGATCTCTCATTTCTATTAGCAAATGCAAAGCAAGATTTAATCTCCTTGCTTTGAAACACCATTTTGTGAAAGGATTATAGTAAAAAAAGCATTCTTCAGCATATTATCATAATTGCAGCAAGACACTGCCACAAATAAACTTGATGGAAAGTCTACTCAGATTTCTGCTTGTGGTGAAAGGCATTATGGTACTTAAAAAGAGATGCTCTAAACTCATCCTGTTCTTGGGTAATACACAAGAGCAGGATATTTGCAAAATACTTATGCAGAAGCCAACTATTTCTGGTTGAATTCCTCCCAAACCATAATCTGGCCACATCTAAGGAGCAGAAAGTGATAACAAAAACAAACAGAGCACAAACTATTTAATGTGGCAATATGTAGCCTCAGAAGATATTTTTCTCCCCAAATTTACATTTATAAGCTCCTCTAAAGATCTACTGTACATACAAGTTCAGCAGATACATTTATGAAACGACAAATACTCAGTAAAACTGAGTATCATTGAAAATACTTGGGCTCATATACACCTAACAGAAGCAAGGAGGTTGCCAACAGGAAGGTATCTCTATATTCAAAATCAACACTCTTCTCAACCCCAGGCAGAAAGAATAGAAAACCCAAGTGATTTTCCTTCAAGAGTTTAAAAGCCTTCAACTGAGTTTCAAAGTAGATCTAGGATTTCATCTGCCTGATTAAGGAAGGTTTCCAGCAGATGAAGCTGTAACTAGGCATAATGATAGTGGAACAAGCAAGTTAGAATCATGCATATCAATTCTAGCTTCCTAACAAACCCAGCCTTAATAGCATTTAATACTGTTCCTTATTCAGAAAGGATTATTTCATCTTAAATGTGCTGGAGCTGGGCTCTATTTTTTTCACAGCATCTGCAGCAGCACAAGAATCCCTTGCTTAGGGAGACAAGTACTGCACTGGCTCAAGACTGTGCTCACACTCAAAGAGCAGTACTTTTTAGTATTTCTGGAGTATTCAGGAGGTTTCAGTCCAAGAAGTTAAGGAGCTCATAACAAGTCACACTATCACAACATGGGGTATTATGCTAAAAACTAAAATGGAGAGTTATGTTTCTGTTTCTTCTGAACTGCTCAGCCATGACCGAAATGGAATACAGTTGCCATGTTTAAGGCTTCTTTGAACTTTAATGATCATACTTCTCTAAATCTGGAAGCAAGCCACATGAACAAGAGTTCATGGCAAATCTTTATTTAAATCAAACCCAACCCTTTCAACACAATGTCCTATCAGAACGTGGCTTGATTTGACTTTTATGGCATAACTTTTAAACTGCATGGAATTAGAAAACTCCCAGCAAGCACTCAAGGAATACATTAAGTGTTAGTACAAAACCACACAGAACCTCAACAATATGCTTAAATCAGCATTAAGGTGTTTGATTAAAAGAATCTGTGCAAAGACTGGCTACACATCTTACAGACTTAAAGTAATACTGAAGAAAGATATATGGGGTTGGCAGAAGAATCCAGAATTACCAGATACTGCCATATCCAGTCATCAAAAAAACCTGTATACCTACCATTCAAAAAGAAAACCCATGCACCAGTTCACTAGGAAAGCAGTCTTGTTAAAACTTAAGTCAAAAGAACAGAGTATTTTATCTTGTGCAATGGAGTATTTTATCTTGTTTCTATCCTCCAATGCACACAAAACTCCTTTACTATTTTCAGTTAGGTATTGTAATAAACCTGCCTTAATCTAATAGCAGATACTATAGATAATACCAGGGGAAAAAATATTGCTGCAGAGCCACAACACAAGTGTGCCAGTTGATAAATACTTGCTATGCTAAATTGTAAAAGACAGTCAGAGCCAAGCAACAATGTGGGGAAAATCGTCTGCAGAAATCTAGATTCCAAAGGATTAAACCAGGCACAACTGGAAACAAACAAACAAAAATAAACAAAAAAACAACCACAAGGCAGGGAAGGGGGTGTGGGGTAAAGACACAGACACTGACTACTTAAGTAGAATAAAAACTCACCCTGGTCACTGAAATACTCTCTGCTCCAGATGACTCCACCTCCTCATACACCCCAAATGGCTCTATGATCTTTTCTTGTTACTACTTAAAATCCCTCCACGGGTTTCCTCTTTTCCTCCAAGTTAATTTCAAAGTGCTCAGTCCTCATCCTTTAAGCTCCATGTGGTTCCATCCCCTTTTATGTCACAGCACCGACAGATGAATCTTTGCACCTTCCCACGTTGTGCTTCCACAAATCCCTCAATTCTTATCCACACCTTCTTCTCTATTTGCAGATTCACTTCATTTTATTGCTCTACTTTAACCTGAAACAGCTTTCCTGCACCCCATACCTGTCACAGAACACTTTGACCTTATCTATTCAGCTCTCTTAAAATCAACTTTTTTCCCACAAATCATCATTATGTGGATGTACATGCATATTCTCTTTACTGGATTACGAATGCTGCACACTATAAAAGTCAAAAGTATTTTGAAAGGCGCTATAAACTATTTAAATACTAATTGTCCATATAAATAACATCAGAGCATTATGTGGAATGATAACCAGATGCAATTACATAATTAAGACTTTTCTACGGTTCAAGGAAAATTCTAGAAAAATATTAAATAACTGTAGATCTTTTTACATTGATACTTCAGCACTCCCAACAAAGCAGAACCTTTTCCTCCTCTGAAAAATATCTCTACTTTTTTACTAACCTAATATTATTCTATATAAGAACTAATAAAGGAACCCCCATCCCCCACCCTCACATTTGCAGGAACAGTAATCAGCTACCTGGAGTAACGCTCTCCCTATTCAAATGAAGATGGCAAATAAGTATTTGATGTATACTGGAACAATTGGTTTAACTCACCAATAAATGGAATGGAAGCCAAGGAATCGCCAGGTGGGCTGGAACCTGATGCTTTCCTTTCTTCAATTCTTTTTATGTGGACTTCTCTCCGAGCATCATTAGGTAGCCAACAGGTAGTGTCTGAAGCAGCCTCTTGGTCATTTACAGCAAGAATGTAGGACTGGTGTCTCAAAGGCTGTGGAGTTTGGTGGCCAGAAGGTGATTTATCCCGCATAACAACTGTGTCTTTGTCATTTTCCTGAATGCCCGGCTGCAGAAGTTCAGGCTCTTGGACACCTTCCCTTTCAAAATCGTGGATCTTTTGTCTGATGGAAGTATCTACGTTGTCAGAGGTAGCTGAACTCTCACTTGTTTGCTGAACAAGTTTGGCAGAAGCTGCAGACAAGGAGAGGGGTTGGATGCTTTTGCCAGTTTCTGTTTTGCGGTCTGGGGAACCTTCTGCTCGGATCCTTGGCTGTTGATTTAACAGATTACTTTGATGCAAGTGATTTACTGTTCTTTGGTCTTTGCTGGCAAGAACATCCAGGCTCTGGTTAAGGGGAAATGATGGTTTTGCTGCATAGGAAGCAGTGCTCTTCAAAGAGCTACTTTTAAAACTTCTAGCTGTTGTGAGAGACGTTCTCTCTTGTGAAAGAGCTGAAGGCTTTGAAACTCCCCCAGGAGACTGCAAATCTCGAGAAGGCTGTAACATTTTTATATCTGGTGGAACTTTTTGAAAATGAGAAGTGGAGAGAGAAGCTCTACTACCTACTCTCCTGTTGTCTGAAATATAAGCGCTCGGAGCCATAGGAAAATTTTGGCCTCGAAGGGACATATGAAATGCATGTTGTCTAGATCTCTCATAAATACCTCGCCGGTCATCTTGTTCAGTAAATCCTGTCCACTTATAAGTCTTTCTCCTATCTCCATTTGTATCTGCAATCAAATTCTCAGAACGAAAACTTTCCAGCGTTTCACCCTGTTTGCTGAGGTAATCCCATGACTGAGCCCTGTGATTCCTAGCATTAATCGAAGGTGAAGTTAATGTATCCTGTGAAGCACTTCGTGGCCACTCTTTCATCAACACAGGATCTTCAAGTCTTTCCTGGGATACACTCCGCTGCCGGATCTGAACAGACTGAGGAACCCTGTCATGAGAGGTGCTTCTGCGCCGTACCTGGGAAGCAGTGCGATTTGGCACCACCTGATTATAATCAGTTGTATTCTGAGAGGCTGCTCGTAAACTATCTAACCTTTCCTGGATTGTTCGGGAACCATACATGTGCATGCGCCTATTGTCAATGTACTCTTTGTAGGTTTTGTAGGTCTTCCAGTCTATATGTTGGTGGGAAGTTGGAGAACTATAATGATTAGTAGAAACAGACGGTGAGTCAGTGCCTTGAGCAGGAGGTCTAGTGCTTGGGATTCCTTCTGAACATACTACATAATTTGAAGGTTTACTTATTGTTCCAGTTGGATCAACTGGCCTTGTTATTGGAGTCTGCGGAAGTACAATGGAAGTGGATACTGAGGAGGATGGTGATGTGGTCCATGCTTTTAGAGTAGTTTGATCTTTTAAGCCATATCTCACTTCCTCTGTCCTGTGTGATGGACCAGCATGATTATTTCTACAAGATGGCAGATCTACAGCCTTCTCAGAAGGCACAATAACAGTCCGTACAGTTTCATTGCAAACACACACAGCTGTATTTGATTTTGCAATGTCTGTTGGTGATGGAGGCACTTGTATTTCCATTCTGTAGGCCCTCTCTGGCTGTGTCAATGCCCGTACTGGTCTGGTGACTTGCTGTTTCCCCAAAGAGAAGTCAGAAGATAACTTGTCACTAGCTTGTGCCATAACAGAAGCTGTGGACGTCAGGCGTGGATAACATATTGGTGGTGGTTCAGGTATGTTGTGGGCATTACCACTGTAAGCTTCATTGCCTTTCAGGTAGGCATCTTGGGAATATGCCTGCAGAAAGAAGATTAAATGAACGTTAAGTAACAAGAGGGAGATGGAGAAGTTCTCCATCTAAGTGCTTGCACGATAAGGCTTCAAAAGAGGAAACGAACATGAAATTCGTACTGTGTATTATTTTAGCTAAAAGGATAGTTTCAAACTTAAATACAGCATTCCCTCCCCTTAGTAAGCCAAAACAGAACAAGCAAATTCATACATACATTCCCCTCTCTGAAAAATTAAAAGCTGAACTGATGAGCAACTCTAGGAAATACTGTAAGTAGAGCACTGTAGGCAGGTTTCCCAAAATCTGCGAGTACAAAATGTAGTAATTTTTCCCCCTTAGTTTTCTTCAATCACAATGTTTCAAATATCCTTCCCAGAGTTTCACAGCCATTGACAGGTTAAAACGCTGCATAGTAAAATTAACCAGCACTAGAAAATTCTCTATTAATCTAATGTAGAGCACACAAAAAGTATATACAAATATACAAACACTCCTCTAAGTTGCCTTCTACATAAAAGCTACTGTTCCTAAACATAAAATGAATAAATTACAGCAGTAACATCTTTGTTGTGAGCCAACACCCTTTAAGTAATCTTACATTTTTTACAGGAGACAGCCAGTAAACGGCACACTACTAACATTACTGCAAAAATATGAATAATATGCATCATTTTTAACTTCAAAATACAGTGTGAAAATTCATACATATCTACTACTGTCTACACACTATTAGAACACAAACTAAAATTTTAAATTCATTTCCTTAGTATGCTTAGCTGCATCTATCTCTGTGTTTAAGAGCCTGACTCTTACAAGAAAAAAAAAAAAAAGGGCTATATTACATTTACTACATTTCAGTAGCCTCCTTTTAGCATGAAGCAACGTTTGATATCATTGTGAAATTAACAGAATGTACAAAAAAAGGACAAATATACAAATTACTTAAACAATATCCTTATCATTTAGAAACTTTAGCATGACTTCGATCAGTTTAAACATAATGAAATAAAGGGCTGACACTGCGGAGCCTGCCAGTGCAACAGAAGATTAAAAAGATTTCTCAGGGTTTTCACATGTTTAGATGTGGTATCATATTACAGCATTTCCTGTGCAAAACACAACACGGTCAATTCCAGAATATCAACATGCCCTGTCTTAATACTAGACAGGTTACAAAAGCCCAAGTGCAGCCATAAAATTAACACAGAGCAAAGTACAGAGGAGGGCGAGGCATCTGCTGCAATAAATGTTATATTGAGCATTAGCAAAGTGCAAAAATACTAAAGCAAACTGCAGGAAAGCTGACCAAGTAACACAGGCACAAACCACAAATTAAGACATTAGCATTATGAAGAGAATTCAGCTCACACTATCTAGCTCATCTCCAACAAACTTGCCATTTTATATTCTTGCTTCTCACAAATCACTTGAGGAAAACACGCCTTACAAAAAATCAGAGAAATGGCTACTGTACGTTTCTTACCAGTGCTGTGACATCCTTTGCAACCTGCAGCTGGCAGAAAACAGGAAAACATAGTAAAATCCGCTTACAGATGTAAAGACAGAATTAAGTTGTCATATTGATGTTGGATACAGTAAGCTAAAAATACAACTACACTGATTTCACTGGAAGGTACCAACAGAGGTAAAGGGCAGTAGAGCATAAAAAATAACTTCATCCTCCTTGTAAGCATGTCTGTCTCAGGCTTTTATCTGCTCCTTGCATTTATCCTCTACCCTTACAGAAAACAAAACACATTTGTGCCATTTTGCCTTGGTGCATCTCTACAGCTGCCTGCAGAGAGCTCCGGTTCTGTGTAACGAGACTTCCCTTCCGCTACAGCAACATTACTGTCTCTCATTTCCCCTGGGCTGCTACCATCCCTGCTTCCTGGTGACGAAACAAGGGCTTTATTATGCATTTAAAACAGCACACCCCTTCCCCACATATATCTGAACACGACCACAAGCTGTCAGCTGACTGCAGCTGCTTTCATAATGTATGTCGGAAACTAGAGGAATGATGCTGCAGAAACAGCCTACTTCTGTGATTTTGATTTTTTTTCTTCCCCTCATAGTAAAAATCAAGCCATGTTCCTACTATATGTAGCATATTAATTTGTATTTTCCTCCCACCACTAAAAAATAAATATTTTTAGATCTTTGAATAACTGGCCATTGAAAATCCTGACAGGTTATAATAGGAATAAAAAAGAAAAAAAAAAGAAAGAAAGAAGCTAGAGGCCCAGAAAGCAGGTGGAGCAAGAGAGTACAAGCATGGAAAACAAAACAACCCCCCTCCAAATCAGGGGAAAACAAAACAAACAAACAAACAAAAAAAACACATTACATTATAAAGCTGATGAAACAGTTCCAAACCCCACTGACAGGCACACGTTAATAATTTCTGTAACACCAATATAAAATACACTGAGTTTGCGTTTTCCTAAAACATGCTCACAACAGACAATGCTTCATTGATTTTGACAGCAAAAAGGCTGAATTCCAAAACTGGCATGATTTGATCATTGCTTATGACTACAAATGAGTCTAAAAATCAATTTTTAGGTCTTGACAAAACAAATTGCAGATATTAAAACACCTGCAGAAGACAACATTCTACTAGGGTCTAAAATAAGACCAATTAGGCTTTCCTTCCTCCTCCCCAAATAAAGAGTGTATTTTCATGATCACAGCTATATATCATCTGGTCAAAGAGACTGCCAATTCAGAGAAAGATAAAGGTATTAGAAACAAGTTTGGATGGTCAGAAACTACCTCCTCTTTCAATCTCATTATATCCACTTCCCAAGTAATCATTAAAAGAAAACCGATCTTTCTTCTAAGAAAGGAAAAGTTTATAAATAAGAGGTATGACATTCCCGTACAAGAACAGAAAAAATAGCTTTCATAATCCTGATTATGGGCCTACAGAGAAATATTTCAAATTATAAAAAAAGTACCAGATTTCATTACTGTTCCAATCATGTCAAGGTGGATGGATGTGTAGTATCACCCTTTTTATATGGAAATATTTGAAGTGCTTTAACCAGAAGGGGATGGTTAAATTTTTAGATGAGGTTTACTGATTAACAAGTGTAAAGCATATCAACACACTTATCAACATTCATATAAAATTTAGATAATTAGCATATTTTCCAACTACAGTTCAACAACAGTTTGAGTATTATTCTCTTCTCCCTTTAGCTCCTCTTAATGATTTAGCATGTGAAAATACTACTTTTGTGTCTAAGTAATTGCATTAGAGCATACACTCATAAAACGAGCCGTTAGGGTATGACTTAAATTTAATAAAGTATTTGAAAAGCCTTAAAAATTGAAAAAAGCCTTCTGACTTTAAAAAATCCAAACCAGTTAGGCTCCTGTTGCTCTCAGTTACAGGGTTCAATTTCTCCCCCATCTTGCTCTCACTTTCTCTCTGCACCGAGTTTGCAAACTCCTGTGGCTAAGAATGAATTTCTTACTGTGAGTTTGTACAATCATTACAGCACGTTTGCGTTCTCACTGATAAGGTAATACATTTGTGCCACATGATATGCAAAATAAAATATTCTAAGCAAATAAAATATTCTAGGAGACATTTTATTAACCCATTAAAGCAGAAGGTTTTTGCTCACAGTCATTACTTTCCACTTGATTTTATGCTAGTTGATGTTGGAATAACAACAGCCCACATACAAGGACTCCTGTTCTTAGTAACAATCATGGTAAAACCCTATACTCTTAAGAGCTTGAGCCAACAAATTCCTACACCCATTAGTCAAAACCATGATAGCATGTAGGCATATACTTCCTTATGAATGGATGAGTAATCACAATAATCACTCTGATTTCAACAGAATTACTTGCAAAATTGAAGGTAAGTGTTATAATGAGTAAGAGGCTAATGCATCCATAAGACTGAACTTGGAGCACTCTTCCTTCTCCCCCCCATCAATTCTGCTTAAGATTATGTTTCTTTACTGTTAACTTAAATTCTTCTCTTCTCCAGTCCTAACATCTTCACATATAGCATGGATATGGGACCATGGACAGGGGAGCAGAACATCAGAAAAGTGTTTCAGGGATCTTAAGAGGAAATATTTTTCAATTATAGTTTGCTCTGGCAAGAATGTTAATAATACAGCTCAAGTATAAGCCGGCTACAATTTCGGTAAGACATTGAAGCTACTATTTTTAACGAGTGATATTTTTAAGTGCTTGACACCTACAATTCAACAACTTGTAAGCTATTTTCTTTCTTACATTCACAAGGAATGAATCCTAAACAAGCAAATTGCCATATATCTCAAATCCGATCCAAAAATCCTGCATATTAAGACACCCTAACATATACATTTTGGACACCACTAAGTCTACTGATTCAAGCTGACCTGCAGGCGGCCCAGCAATTCCCATGCACTTACATCAGTGCTTGCTGTGTAGCACAGAGAGCTTTTGTATGACTGAAATGTCACAGTTTGAACAATTATTTTTAGCAGTGAAACTGTTATACAGAAGGCTGCAAACAACAACAATCCCATTAAACATACTTGAGAAAAGGAACTATTTGTAGCAAACCTAAATGTGCCTTCCTGTTTGTATGAAGTCAGTGCTACTAATACAAGACGTTAAGTTTCCCTCAAAAAGGTTGAGAATGCCGCAGAAATTGTACATGGATCTGTCAAACTTCAAACACTGAGGAGAGCATAGCACAGAAATCTGTATTGTCTCAAAATGGCTGCATGCCTACTACAAGCTTTCTTTTAACAAAACCATAAAGGAAGAGACACAAAAAGACTGCTATTCCAAAGACACTTGGTAACCACAGACTGCCATCAGTTGTGAGACAGCTGAAATCCAGAGCAAGAGAGAAACTCTGTGCGTGCCTTTCGGCAATAAACAGGTATCACAGCCTACTCTTAAATTTTAAATTCAGGCACCCTTGCACTCCATCTAGCTTTTTCTTTAAAGGTAAAGGCTACCAGTATAGCCTTTTAAGCCCTTCTTCCCTCAGGTCTTTTTGGCAAGCTAAGTGACAAATGGTATTTGTTTTCTAGCTGTCCACATTCTGCTCCTGCTTGATCAAAAATCATCTCCGCTGTGCTCCCAACCTCTACTGTTTAAAAGGCATATTAAAAGAGCTTTAAATTTTCATCTTATATAACAGAATGACAAGCTACGTGAGAACAGTCTTTTCCAAACAATTTGTCTCAACTGACATAGTTTTGCATGCATACAAAATGCACACATTTTGTATCTTTAGTACATAAAACAGAATTAGTTCAAAAAGCTTTGTTTTAAGCACAGAAAATGCCAACACATGGCTGAGTTTCTGTCCTTTTCATTATTTCCCATTTTTCAGAAGTAAAACAGTTTGTTCCATACTCTACAAAAGTAATAAATCATCACTTTCTATGGTTTTTACCCACCACTTCCTATGCCTTTTCCTTCTTTTCACTCAACCCTCCATCAATATATCTCCTCCCAAAAAATGTAGTCCTGCCCTCAACAATATCTCCAGTCCTGTTTTCCCTCTCCCACCCAACAGCGTTCCCAGCTGCCCTTCAAATTGTGCAAAAGGCAATATATTCCTTGCCTGGTCCCAAATTACGACATACCATTTGGCAGGACAACGGGCATGTGCTCATTAGGCAGTGGCAGGCCAAAGCAAAGAGGTAATTTGAGCCTTTATCTTAATAAAGCAAATATTTCACCTAGGGTATTTCTGAATATTCTCTGATACACCATGCTGGATACTCAACCTCTGACTATTTTATGTTTTTCAATCATCAGTTCAGCATTTGCTGCCTAGTGAATTTTGGTAGGCTTTCCAGCCAACTGTAAATTACTGTGAAAGAAGCCTGTTAAAAGATATGTGAACAAAACTGACTCAGGGACAGAGAAGATTTACTTTCTAGCTACCACCTTGACATGCCCAAGGATGAAAGTGATTGTTGTAATAGGGCTTCTGCCAGAAGGCAAAGTCAGGGCAACTTTTCTTTGAAAAGGGGAGCAGACGAGCAGTAAAAATTCACCTTTAGGATGTTCCACGCTTAGCTTAGCCTCTTCCTCTCAGCCAGTGGTCTCAGGAACATCCATACTCAATCACAGATACAGGCCAGAGCTGCCACAGGGACCTCTAGCTTTGTTCTTTTGACTACTTCCAAATTTATTTTAAAATCAGTTTGTTGTTCTCCCAGCTAACAAAGATGATACCAATGCCAAGCTTTAGCATCACAGAGCCTATTAGAAGAGCCAAAGATCTGTCTCTCAAGCAACACAGTTTATGTGAAATAGCTACTTTAAACTGTATGAGCATTGCATTTTGCCAAGGGTACAGTAAAGAGGTAGCAACAATCCTATCAAGCAATAACTCAGTCATAGCTTCATAATGAAACATGTTATGGATATGTAAACAGCTACACACAACATGCTCAACAAAAATAAATGAATATAGGAAAACCTCTTTTGCCTCAAAATAAATGCTAAATACAATTCTCTACCATGTACATATGAAGTCCCACACCTTGAGGGGCTCCTAACCAAATCATATAAAATCTAGTATCCCCTCTATCGTCCATTGCCTTCGTAAAATCTATTTCTACATGCAATCATAGTTTTCTATCCTAGACCACTCTGAAACTACAGCTTGCTGTTGGAGTTTATGGGCTAAGAGATTACAACTCTTATTTTTAAGAGATAGGGAGAAATTCCAGATTAAAATACCCTATCTGCTTATAATATTTTTATTTATTGATACACTTAGGAAAAGCCTTCTGGGATAGACACCAAGTTGAAAAACTTCTAAAATTTTTAGTAAATTATAATTGAATCCCTACTGCCTGTTCATTGCCATTGTACTTAAACCTTTTTTCGTGCAATTAAAATTCATAAATTATAAGCTATAGGTGCCGTTTCTCTTAAAAGAAAGTTTTCCTGTTTCCTTTCCCAATCCTAATTAATACATTCCTATTTTTAAACATCTTCTTTGCTATTTCCCTCTTACCAT